CACCCAAATTTTACTGATCAACTCCTTTTAATTACTATCCAAATCAGTTTACTAAAAGCTAAATTTTAATCAAGTGTGATAGATCATAACTTGAGTTGGGTTTTTAGATTTTGTCACGATTAATTAACTAATCATTTCTTTTACAAAATTAGATGATTGTCTCACTCTCATCTCAATCTTTGAATAATTTATTATGATAAATTAGTATTTTAATTCTTTATTTGTTTTAAAATTAAGTCTTTATCATCTACTGACTAATTAAACAAAATTTAATGTCAATATTTATCAGCACTGTTGCTTCATTAAATATCTCAACTAAATTTATTTTTTGAAAATTCCCCATTTTAATCACCTCTAATTATTGTATCATTACTGTGCAATTTAAACTAATTATGACTTTGTTTTTAATAAATGACACTAAATTTTGAAAATCAGTCAAAGAGTCTTATCATAATAAGGAAAGTTATTTAGAGCATACTAAAGATAAGACTTATGAATATTTGGAATGTAGGGTATTCTACTAAATTAAATATAATAATCAATATTACCATTCTTCTTAAAATAAAAATAGTAAGTAATATAAAAGAGCAAATGCATTTTGTCTTATTTTCTTATCAGTCTTAGAAAAATAAAAAATACGAAAGGGTTATAATCGAAACTATTGATATAAAAATGCTCCTGCTAAACTCACAATTAAATTACTTTTAATTAGAAGTATTACTAAGTTTTGATCATAGTAAATTTTTCATCTTAAACATAAAGATATATCTATAGTGCATAGTATATTCCAAATTAGAGGTAATCTTCAGTAATTAATCTTAATATAAATTCAAAAGCAAACTTTATGTTCCTTAAAAACCATACTACCCCTATTACTAACAAAAGTAAAAGATAAAGGATGATAAGATTCCAACTTAAGCCTAAATTAGTAATGAAATCTGAAAACTCATATCTCATTAATTAAAACTTATCAACGAAAGCTTCCCAAAACAACACCGCCTCATTTTAAAGCTATAAATTCTCTACATTAATATCTTATAAATCAATTAGCTTGAAATTAAGTACTGCTATAATTCTCTACATTAATATCTTATAAATCAATTAGCTTGAAATTAAGTACTTCAATAATGAAACTAAAAAATACCATGACATTTGGTGGAAATTTCAAAGAAAAAAAGGGGAAAAAAGTTATCACTTATAAAGTATGTATCATACCAAAATCAAATTATTTTGCATTCTAGTCCTGCTTCCAACATAATTTGCAGTTTTTAGATGTTAAGTGACAAACTAATTCTATCTATCAGATGAATATCTTTACCAAATTGCCTCACGGTAAGTGATTATTAATCTATGCTAATTTACTGAGGCACATAAATAAAGTCAGTCCGAAAACCATGCTTTATTGTTAAATTAATCAGTTGAGAAACATAGAATGTGCTATTCAATATTTCTAACTATATTTTATCGCTTTAGTAACCATGAGATACTTTTGAGGTATCCCTAAAATTCAACTAAATGTAAAGAATAATCTCTTTTAAGGAGTTATATTGAAAGAGTTCAGCTAATCTAGTTATAAATACCATTTTAATAATAATTGAATTTTATAGACTGCTAAACTAATTCAAAATCTATTTTAAGGGGTTTTGGGGTTTTGGGGTTTTGGGGTTTTGGGGATAACTAAAAAATATCATGATATTAGGTGGAAATTTCAAAGAAAAAAAGGGGAGAAATGTTATCACTTATAAAGCATGTATCATACCCCACAAATAGCTTAGAGTAAATTAAAAAATTGAATCAATAGCAATACTGGAAAAGATAATTATAGTAACTGTTACCACAATAATCTTAGCTATAGCTTAAATAGACTAATACTAATCAATGCTAATTTACTAAGGTACATAAATAAAGTTAGTCCTAAAACCTTGCTTTATTGTTAAATTATTCATCTGAGAAACATAGAATGTGCTATTTAATATTTGCAACTATATTTTATCGCTTTAGTAACCAAGTGATACTTTTGAGGTATCGCTAAAATTCAATTAAATGTAAAGAATATTCTCTTTTAAGGAGGTTATATTGAAAGAGTTCAGCTAATTCTAGTTAGAAATGCCATTTTAATAATAAAAGAGTTTTATAGACTACTAAAATGATTAAGAATCTAAATCCAAAACTTTGTATAAAGGTAGATTAAAAGCACATTAGATTTCACCTGTTTAAGTCATCTTAATATTCTTGAGTACTAAAATAGTTTTGTTTTTCACATCTTCTTTTTTAAAGTCTATTTCCTAAATGTAATTTTCAATATTAATAATCTCAATTGGCCCTCGCTTCTCTAATTTTATTGTTGTTTTATTACTCTCAAGAATGATGTCAGTATTATTTATTTATTCTCTAAATTTTATGGTAATCATAAATGTGTACTAATTCACTACCTTATCAATGTCTAGGTCTTTGATATCTATAATAAAAGAATGGTTGCCTATTGTGGCACTTTCATCAGGATTGCATAAAATTTGATTTTTTTCTTTAGTATAGCACTTGTCTTAGGAGGAAAGTTATTTCAAATTTACTCTAAATTTTTATTTTTGTTAGATTATTTTATTGGGCAAAGGTATTACTACAACTGATGAGTTATTTAGCATTATCACAGGTTAGATATTTTCACTAAAATAGGGGGCAATGTATTACTCCATTTTAATTAGAGATGAAGGTGTAAAGGAATGGGATGTTGTGATTGCTTAAGTTGTTACTGTAGAGGCCTATGATGTGGTTGGTGTTGGAGTTGCTGTAGTTGTTGTGGCTGTAGTAGGCATTTATGTAGTTGTTGTTACTGTTGTTGTAGTAGTAGTACTTGTAGTTGTTGTAGTTGTTGTTGTTGTTGTAGTAGTGCTAGTAGTTGTAGTTTTCATATAAAGTGTAAAGCAGTATTTATTTCTAGTACTTGTTACTTCAACCCAATTATAGAGGAATAAATCATAGCAAAACTTATATGTACCTGCATATGAAGGATCTGTATAGTAAAAGCTAAAAACTTTATTTGAGGTTTCAATCTAGGTTAAATTTAATATCTTGACAAAAGGAGAATATTAGTTAAGAGTACTTCTAATTATTTCATTTGGACAGGATGGATGTCTATTAATAGCTGGGAATTAGTATGTAAGTGCCGGATCTCCAATAGTATAATTTATTGGGCTCACAATAGGTGAAGATAAAACAAATATAATTCTCTCACTACAATAACTCACAACTGGTCCTTTAACAAGAGTTATAGCAGCTCTTGTTAAAAGATTAGTCGTAGATGCAATTAGCATATCTGTTCCAAGGTAATCAGCTATCGAAGTTGTATCTGAATGTAAAGATCTTGAAAATATCCCACTTACAAGAGTCACTGAATTTTTCGTATACCTTAATTCAGCACACCAAGAGTCTGGGTAATCAAAAAAAAGCATCATTTTGGAAGTAAATGTTTGTGTTCC